CTTATCGTCACGGGGGCCGCCTTTCTACGGAGGACAGGGCAGCAGGGGTCAGGACAGGAGGCGCGGAGCCTGCAGGACCTCGGGCTGAGGTGACCCAGGTGACCCCGGCGACCCTCACAAGCTGGCGCCGCAGCGGGGCCCGCCCCCTCGGTCTGCGGAGACGGAACTCGCGACCCAGCCTCAGCTCCGGCCACGCCCACCATTGAGCCACGCCCCCACCGATGGTACCTCCCCTGCCACTCCCGGCCACGCCCAGCCCCGGCGCCCCGAACCTAGCCCCGGGAGCCACGCCCCACCGGTCCACGTCGACTCGACCTGGCCCCGCCCCATCCTTCCGGCCACGCCCCACGCAGACACCGCCCCTTCTGGAGTTACGCCCCGCCCCGTCGCGTGATTGACAGCGCAGGGCTGCGCCCGAGGCCTAGTCTCGCGGGTGGGCGTTCTCCCGCGGGCCGGGGCCGGAGGCCCGGGGTGTTCCGTTGCGTCTCGACGCGCGCCCTCTCTGCCCTGTGCCCGGCCGCCCCGTCGTGGGGACTCCCGCCCTGCAGCCTCCAGCCCGCTGGGACCTGGCTTTTCCCCTGCACTTGCAGGAAATGTTGTCTCCTCAGAACAACTTGGGCACATGAGCCCGTTTCCAGCTGCGAATTTAATGAAATCTGAGCAAAGATCAAGTATTTCTGTGAAAATTGAGCGTGCTCCAAGTTGAGAGGTGCTGTAAGGTGTGGAGGGCGCACTGCACTTAAGTACTAACTAGGACTTAGTGATGGTTGTGATTGGACGGTGGTGAACCATGTGACATAGCTCATTAATAAAGTTTATATCGGCTACTTGTTCAAATGGTAACATTTGGGATATGATGGGTAAAGTAAAAATATACTTTAAAACGACTGTCACCTGGTTCTTTTTACTTTCTTAACGTAGCTACGAGAAAAAGTAGTTACACCTGTGCCCCCACCACGTTTCTTTTTTTTTTTTAAGATTTTATTTATTTGAGAGAGAGAATGAGAGAGAGCAAGCACATGAGAGGGAGGAGGGTCAGAGGGAGAAGCAGACCCCCCGCTGAGCAGGGAGCCCGATGCGGGACTCGATCCCGGGACTCCAGGATCATGACCTGAGCCGAAGGCAGTCGCTCAACCAACTGAGCCACCCAGGCGCCCCCCCCCCCCCGCCACGTTTCTGTTGGGGCTGCGGCTCTGGACGCTCACACGTGGACCAAGACACAGTGTGCCCTATTCCCACCCTGACATTCTCTGCAACCAGGTGTGCTGTTGATGTGGTCACCGTCCTATCGGAACTTGAAGCTACGTTCGCTTTCCCAGGTCTCTGCTGAGAGCGCGTTCCGTGAGGTCCCCTTGATAAGTACGATTGTGAGGCTTGGGGAGGAGAGGAAGCCTCCCAGGTCACTCAGCCTGTGGGCAGCAGCAGCTTCTTCACCCTCCCATTTGTCCCATCACATCTGGTGGACAAAGAGCCAAGTTGCAGGCTTCTTCACTGAAGGTCAAGCTGCCTCCAGGTTTGGCTATGGACATCGCATCGTAAGCCAAGACCATGAACATCGCCCCCGTGGCAGCAGGTGACAGGCTCTATCAGGGCTCAGGGGATCCCTGAAGCCTGAATTCCATCCTCTCCTGCTACTGTCTGGTCTCTTAGGGAAGGAGTCACCGACTGAGAGGTGGAGGTGGGCGAGCAGAGCAGGCTCCTTGGTGCACCAGTTTTATGCCTTACAAGTCGTGGCTTCTTCACCCACAAATGGGGTATGGCTCGTAGGTCCGCTCTGAGGGTGAGACAGGTCAGGCCTCCCGGTTGTGGGGAACGGGGCCCGCACAAAGCACACCTCAACAGAGCCCAGCTGTTATTGTTTCGTAGCGCTGCTTTGCAAATTGCCAGGCACTGCACACCCCTGGGAAGTGGCTGTTCCGAGCCAACAGCAGCAGCATGGAGCAGTCGAGGTGCAGTCATTCGGGCTGTGCTCATGTTCGAAGGCAGAGCAGGAGGTGGGATGGGTTCTAGGGAAGTTACAGCTGGGCAGACGCGGCTGTAACTCAAACTCAGAACATACTGCAACTCTAGCCATTTTTTGGAGTGTGGTTAAAACGATGGTGATGGGGCGCCTGGGTGGCTCAGTCGGTTAAGCGACTGCCTTCGGCTCAGGTCATGATCCTGGAGTCCCGGGATCGAGTCCCGCGTCGGGCTCCCTGCTCAGCAGGGAGCCTGCTTCTCCCTCTGACCCTCCCCCCTCTCATGCTCTCTGTCTCTCATTCTCTCTCTCAAATAAATAAATAAAATCTTAAAAAAAAAAATAAAATAAATAAAATAAATAAAATAAATCTTTAAAAAAAAACAAAAAAAAACAAAAAACGATGGTGATGGTGGTGGTGATGGTCTGGTTCTATTCCCTACTGTGTCCTCTATCAGATATTCCCGAGGCCCTTCCTTCTTGCCCTTCAGTGTCATCCTCTCCAAGAGGCCTCCCTGAACCCTCAGATCTAAAGTGGCCCCCCCAGTCACTCCATCTCATGACCAGGTTTTATATTCTTTATTTAAAATGATTTAAAAAAAAAATTTTTTTTTAAGATTTTATTTATTTGAGAGAGAGTGAGCGAGCGAGCGAGAGCGCACAAGCAGGGGAGCAGCACAGGCAGAGGGAGAAGCAGACTCCCTGCTGAGCAGGGAGCCCAATGCGGGGCTTGATCCCGGGACCCTGAGATCATGACCTGAGCTGCCTAACCGACTGAGCCACCCACACGCCCCTGAAATTTTTTTAATTAAACTAATTTCTGTCTCTCTCCACTAGAATGTGAGCTCCTTGAGGGCAGGGCCCTCCTGTCTTGTTCTCAACCTGATACAGAGTGGACCCTCAGTGGCCTGGCCTGTACTGGGCCTTTGGCCGCCAGGCTCCCAGTGGGCACTCAGTAAATACCGGGTGATCACATGAATGAAGGCATAGTCCCCAGTCTCCCAGTTTCTTCAGGGTACACATCCAGAAACAAGGGTTCTAGCCCCTTTGTGATCTGCTGATCTCTCTCTCTCTCCTGAAGACATTCTAGCCTTAACATTTCATACCTATAAGCCAACATGACACTTCAGGGGAGCATGGGCAAACAGAGCAGAGAGGGGCATTCACTTACCTTATTCTAGACTCTATACTTTTATTAATGCAGCCGCATATGGATCAACCTTTTGACCAGGCTTTCATCCAGCCTCCTTGGGTTGGAAGAAATAGAAACTCACTCAGAGGCACTTTAGGCAAAAGACGCAGAGGTATGGGAGAGGCTAGAGGCTGCTCCATAAAAACCCGGGCCATCTTGAAAGCTGTGGGTCTCCCATGACAGCAAACTAGAACCACTGCAAACCATCTGGGTCAGCTGCTGGGTCTGGCTGGGTGTCCCTGGGTGACACGGTCCCTTGCTCACTATCTCTCTCTCCATACACATGGAGGACGGTGGCTGTCCTACTCCATCTCACTTCCCACAGCCAGAGGTGACAGAAGGGTGGTTCCAATGCCAGTCTTGGGTCCAAGGAGAGGATCTGATTGGTTCAGCTGTGGGCCTGCCATCCAATCAGTGGTGACTGGAAGGTGGGGGTCACAACTTCCAGAGGTGGCTGCTGAACCCCATCACTGTAAGTGGGCAGACAATTTTCTAAGCAGCAGCTGCTCCACAGGCTTAAGTCATCCCAAACAGGCCGAGTCACCAGGAGTGACATTAAAAGTTCACAGTGGCATGGCCAGACACACTGCAACGGGACGGACATTGGCACTGGAGCTGGTCCCCAGGCTCCTGCTGTATGGCATGCCCCCCTCCCGATGGCTGGTTGTGAGGAGCGAATGAAGACAGCACTGTTACGTCCCCAGACTTGCCTCATCCCACATGGGACCGACACATTTTGGATTCATGTTCTGGATCCTACAAGACCCCTCAGCTATCCCCAGAGCCACTCAGGGCCTCCTAGGGCCTGCTTCCACCTCCAGACTAGTGCCCCCGGGGAGCTGGCCAGAACACAGCAATGTGTGCCTCTGTCCCTCCCAGAAGTCCTCCCCAGGTGGATGTGCCTGGGAGTGCATGCTCTTGTCACACAGCCATGTGGAGCCAGGCAGGCAGGGTGTCCTCTCCTGAGGGGCCCTGCCTCCCATCACCTCACTCAGCTCTCTTGGGGGGCATGAGCCTAGTCAGCACTCTGTGGTTCCAGGCTGGTGGGCGGGCAGGTGGCAAGACAAATGAAATGCTGGTAGAAACGTCTCAGCATTCCGGAAGCTCTGGGGAGGCCTCCTGCTCATCAGCTTATCTACAGAGAGCAAGGGCTGGGAGCCAGATACTGGAGTCACTTGTGGTTAGATCCAGCTGCCCGGACTCTCCAAAGCCAGGTGTTCCTTCACTTTCTAAATGTGAAAGAGAGCGCGCGCGGGAACCACAGCGTATCTGGGAGAGAAGACAGCTGCCTCCTTCGCGATAAGCAGCTACAGACGGAAAGATGTGCAAAGTCCCCCTGTCTCCGCTGGCCTTACGAAGAGGCTGTGCCTAGAACGTGTGCTGTCACTACAGTCCCAGGATCCTGCACATTTCGCTCTATAACGCACAGCAGGCTTACATTTGGAGAGGTCCGTTCCGACGCAGGGCAATGCTTGCCTCCGGCGCGGTGGCCCAGGGCACACACCGCCACAGACCGGTCACAGAGCCCAGGCTTAAGCACGCCGGCTGCCACCTTCCACCCCGCTCCCTGGGCAGCTGCTGTTCCCAAAGCACGGGCGTCGCTGTGCGCTCCCCTCCTCGCCCACGGCAACCGCCGCCTCCGGGCACTTTCCCCCACCGAGAGGCCCTCTACAGGGCGCTCCGGGCCTCCCGCGGGTCCCCGGCGGCAGCGGCCCCTCCGGGACCAACACCCCCTTCCCCGATCCTCCCGAACGCCGCTCTTCTTGCCCAACAGCCTCCCTGACGCAGAATTCGCACCCGCGGAGAGACGCCGGGGTCTGGCCGCCGACCCTGCCCAGGGACGCCGCCGAGGGCCAGCGTCACTCAACGGTGCCTGGTGTTAACCGCAGCAGGAAGCAGCGTGGCATCGCTCTCTTCTCCCGGACCGCACGGGCTCCGCGTCCGCCCCAGGCCCAGCTCACCCGCCACCTCGAGTCCGGCGCGACGAGCACCGCGCTGCGGCGCCTGCGCGCGCCTGCGCAGCCGCGAGAGCGTCCCCGCGCATGTGCCTGGACGCGTCCATTTCCCGGCCGCCCCGCCCCCGCCGATGGTTCCGTCCGGGGGGCGGGGCCAGGCGCGGCGGGAAAATCGGCGCGGAGCGCGGCACCGCTTCGGTCCTGCGCGGTACCAGGTCCCTGTTCGTGTCCCCGGTCCCGCCATGGCACAGCCCCGACTCACCGACTTCTTCGCGCGCCGCCGCCCCGGGCTCCGCGCCGCGCCGCCGCGGGTCAAGCCGGTCTGGCGCACCCCAAGCCCCGCCAAGCCCGCGCCCGGCGCCCCGGCCCGCACCCCGGGCGGCAGCCGCAAGCGTGCCCGCCCGCCCGCCGAGCCCGCGCGCGACCACCCTGCGCCGCCCGCGCGCCGGAGGCTGCGGCTGCCGGCCGACACGGTGACGGGGGAAACTGAGACCGGGGCGGGGGCGGGGGACGCGGACCGGGGGTCTGGCTGCAGACGGTGCAGCGAGCGGGGAACAGGCCCCGAGCCGCAGCAGGAAACGGTGCAGCAGGCCTGGGGCCCGGTCACCGCAGACGGCAGGGGGCAGGTGTGCTGTGGCCGCCGCGAGAACCGGGCACAGAGCTCCGCAGCGAGGGCGCCCAGGTGCTGGCGTGAGGAGGGCCAGGGCTCCGCGGGCTGGTAGACGTCTGGCCTGCCTGCGAGCCTGGGCGGGGGGCCAGGCCGGCGAAGAACAGGAAGCAGGCGATGGGCCCGCTCCTCTGGCTCGACTCCAGCAAAAACCTCCACTGGTGCCCCCAGCAGCGCGTGCTCTAGCTAGCTGAGGGAGGGAGGACTCCCTCCCACCGCAGTCTCGTCCACTCGTTCACTTTGGCGTTCTGCCCACCAGGTCTCGGATCCCGCTGACCCGGCTGACCCGACTGCCCCAGCTGCCCCCGCTGCTCCAGCTGCTCCCGCTGACCCGGCTGACCCGACTGCCCCAGCTGCCCCCGCTGACCTGGCTGACCCCACTGTCTCTGCTGCCCTCGCTGCCCCCGTTGATCCGGCTGCCCCTGCTGACCCGGCTGCCCCCGCTGTCCCCGGCTCCCCAGAGCAGGCCCCTCTCTCAGCAGGTCTGCAGCCCTGCCTGGCCGCTCGGGAGAAGGTGAGGTTGGACCCAGGGTGGGGGAGGTAGAGTGATGTGGGTGTGAATGGCCAGCTGAAGGCATCTTGTGTCCACAGGCTTCCTCAAAAGTCACTTTTTCTGAGCTCAAGTCGTGCCTACAGCGGGCACGGGAGCTAGGGGCCCGGGCCCAGGAGCTGAGGGCAAGTGCCCAGAGGAAGGATGCTGGGGAACCCAGCGTGCCCGAGGACCAGGGGCACCCAGCAGGGCCATGGTGAGTCCTGGGTGGGTGGTCAGGCACCGGAGGAAAGGCTAGGCTGGTGGGAGGACAGGACTGGGTAGAGGCCAGGGCTGCTCCTTCCATGGAAGCCGTGCAGGTGATGAGGCTCTCAGATCCCAGCCCTGCCACTGGCTAGCTCCGCACCCTGGCCTCCATCCGTGAGAGGTGCCACTTCTTGCCGCAGGGGGCCCTTGTGAGCTTCAGATGCTGTCAACAGCTCGCCGTTATTGGGTATTTGTCCCCTGTAGCCATGTCTGTCCTCCCCAGCCCCTGTGGTCATCGAGTGCCTCTTAGAGATGAGGGAACCAGGGTTGGGGGTGGCCAGGGACTTCCCTAGGTTGCCAGGCAGGACATGGCAGAGCTAGGTTTGGAGCTATGCCTTTCTGTCTGCACCTCCAGCCATGTGCATGATGGGGACACGGGGTGTGCGGGGGCCATGGGAACGGGGGTGTGGTGTGTCAGGGGAGTGGTTCTCAAGCCCCGACTCTGGGGTCTCCCTGGCCACATTGCCTGCCTGCTGTTGGTGCTGGAGGGGTGTGGGTCTGCTGCTTCCCCTGACGCCTGGATCCCTCCCTGGCAGTGGACAGAAGGCCCCTGCCTACCAGCGCTTCCATGCCCTGGCCCAGCCAGGGCCCCCGAGCCTCGTGCTTCCTTACAAGTACCAAGTGCTGGCGGAGATGTTCCGCAGCATGGACACCATCGTGGGCATGCTCTACAACCGCTCCGAGACCGTGACCTTTGCCAAAGTCAAGCAGGGCGTCCAGGACATGATGCGCAAGTGAGTGGCCCGCCACGAGTGGGGCCCTCCCCCTGCCTGCGGAGTCTGCCGTATGCCCTGCCGGCCGCTCTCTGACCCCAGCACCTTGTTCCGTAGGCGCTTTGAGGAGCGCAATGTTGGTCAGATCAGAACTGTGTACCCTGCTTCCTACCGCTTCCGCCAGGAGCGCAATGTCCCCACCTTCAAGGACGGCGTTAAGAGGTCTGATTACCAGCTTACCATCGAGCCGCTGCTGGACCAGGGTGAGTGTGCTGTGGCTGAGCTCACGTAGCCCTGAGCGTCCGGTTCCCTGCCAGGGCCACGGTTTTGAGCATGGGTGTTAGGCGTTGGGTCCCCGGCCTCCTACGATGCCCGGGGTCTCGGGGCTGGGGACTCAGGCCTGAGCTCTGCCCACAGAGGCCGGCAACACGGCGCCCCAGCTCACGGCCTCACGCCTCCTGCAGCGCCGGCAGGTCTTCAGCCAGAATCTGGTGGAGCGCGTCCGTGAGCACCACAGGGTGAGTGCGCGCCCCGGGATGGCCAGCTCCACCCCTGGAGGAAGCCTCTCCCCAGCCCGCCCTGTCCTCCGTCCCCTCCTCCTGTCAGGGCTCGCTCCTACCTGCAAGAACCAGGTCCTCTCTAGAGTTCTCTGAGCCCCTCCTATGGCTGCCTCCTGCAGGGTGGGTGCGGGCTGGGCGGGGGGCCCTGGGCCCGGTCCCCTAGCTGAGGGGGAGGAGCTCAGCATGGCAGCCTCAGGCCCTGGGAGGTGCATGACGGGCTCAGTGGGTGCTGGTGGCTGCTGTTTCTGGCTCTTGGCCCAGCCGAACACCTGGCGCTCAGGTGCAGGACCTTGCCCGAGGTCGCTCAGCTGGGACAGGAGCCCAGCAGCTTTGCCTGCCCCCACGCAGATGTGCCCAGGGTCACCCGGCACGTCCTGTGTCCTTTGCACACAGGCCTTCCTGGCCTCCCTGAACCCTCCCATGGTGGTGCCCGAGGACCAGCTCACACGCTGGCACCCACGCTTCAACGTGGACGAGGTGCCTGACATCGAGCCGGCCGAGCTGCCCCAGCCGCCCACCACGGAGAAGCTGGCCACAGCCCAGGAGGTGCTGGCCCGTGCCTGCAGCCTCCTGTCGCCCAGGGTGAGACTGTGTCCGGGATGACGGGGCAGGGCAGGCTGACCTCCACGTGGGTATCTGACAGGCTCCATCCTTGGCCAAGTGCCTCGCGGGTGGCGGGAGGTGCCCTCCCCTCGTGCCCGGATGCACAGGGTGCTTGGGCTGGACAGACGGCGACTCCTGGGCAGGGGGGCTGCTCCTCATTTCTCCCTTCTGACCTGCTGCAGATGGAAAAGGCCCTGAATGACCTGGCTTTGCGTACGGCTCAGCCCAGCAGCCCTGGGTCCCCCAGCCCTGCCCTGCTGGCCGCCCCACCGGCCGCCCCGCCTGCGGCCCTGAGGGGGTTGTCCCAGGACCTGCTGGAGAGGGTGAGTGTTGGGGGGCCCGGCAGGGGGGCCACGGGGCTGGCCTTGCCCTGACTGCCCCCTGGCCCCCTGCAGATCCGGTGCAAGGAGAAACGGAAGCAGCTGGCCCAGATGACGCGGCGGCCAGAGCAGGAGATGCGCCTGCAGAGGCTGGAGCGGCTGCCCGAGCTGGCCCGCGTGCTGCGCGGCGTCTTCGTGTCTGCGCGGAAGCCAGCGCTCACCATGGAGGTGACCTGCAGCAGGATGCTCGGCAGCTACCCTGCAGCCATGAGCCCCGGTGTGTGCTGCGCCCTCCCCGTGTCCCCGGCTCCCGGGTGAGGGTGGGCACCGTGGACCGGCTGCTCCCCACGTGTGGGGTCTGTGGTGTGTGCTGGGCAGGCACAGTGCCCTTGAGGTCACCTCTTGAGCCTCTGCTCACAACCCAGCCGGTCACCCTGCAGCCCCTCGGACGGCCCTGCGCCCCACGGGACCGGCAGCTCCCTCCTGGGGACCGGGACCAGGACCGGCGTGGGGCTCAGTGGGAGGGTCAGCTCCTTGGCAAGGCTGTCCCCCATCTTTCCACTGTTCACTCTGCTTCTTGGGGGCATGGACAGGCTTGGCGGGTGTGGGCGAGAGGGGGAGGGCTGGTCCTAAGGAAGGCCTGCTGACGGCCCAGACACCCACCCCATGGGGGCTTAGCGCCCACTCAGGTGTGCATGGGCCCCAGCCTCACACCCCTCTCCGTCTGCAGGGGAGATGGAGCAGCACGTGCGGCTCCTCTCCGAGCTGCTGCCCAACTGGCTCAGCCTCCACCACATCCGCACGGACACCTATGTCAAGCTGGACAAGGCTGCTGACCTGGCAGAGGTCATCACACGGCTGGCCCGCCTTGCCCGCGCGGAGGCGGTGCTGTGAGCGCCTCGCAGACATGGGCTTCCGGTCCCTGGCCCGGCCCGCTGTGTCTGTTTTACTCCCTTTAGGAACACCATGCACTTTTCCCCCTTCTGAACTCCCCACCAGGCTCTCTGGGCAGTAGGCCTCCCCTGGTGCGTCGTATCGTCATTAAACTGGTTTCTGTTGGGGACTTTGTCTTTGCTGTGTTTGGGGTGCAGGGAAGTGGGGCAGGAGGTTAGGCGGTTGGCAGAATGCCCCCCTGGACGTCGATGTGGGAATCCTGGATGGTCCAGTGGGCTTGGCGTCCCCGCTGGACCCTTGTAAGAGGGAGGCAGCCTGCAAGCCTGGAGAGTGGTAAGCCGCCGGCCCCGAGGCTCTAGAAGCTGGGAAAGCCAGGAGACGGTCTCCCTGGAGCCCCCAGAAGGAACCAGCCCCAGCAACACAGACCAGCACTTCCCGCATCTGGAAGCCGCCCCAGGCCACACCGGTCTCCTGTTTGCCCTCTGTGAGGACAGAACCACACGGTGCCATAGACAGGCCTGTGCAGCCTGCCATTGGGGGGGGTCCCTGCATGTCCCGGCCCCAAGGCCAGACCCCACCCTGGCACGTGGACCGAGAGCAGCCATTCTAGCAAATCAGTTTATTCACTTCTCGTGGTGTTTGTGAGTGCAACTGCAGGGGCCTGGGGCTGGGCCCCAGCCGGAGCCGCTGGCTCCAGGCCTTGGCACCCCCACAGCCCGCAGGAAGGACCCCAACGGTGGCCTAAGCACCAGAGAAAGACAACTGCACAAAACCCTTACAAAATTAAAAAAAAAAAAAAGTCCAGGCGGATGGCTGGTGCCCCCTGGCGGCCAGAGCCAGCCACCGGGCTGGACCTCCTCCCTGCCAGGATGGGGCCAGAGTCACTCGAACTGCAGGAGAGAGAAGAAGGGCACGGGCGTCAGCTTCTCCCTGCCCTTCAGCGACGTCAGCTCCACGAGGCTCACGCACTCCAGCACCTCGGCCTGCAGCTGGCCCAGCAGCTCACAGGCTGCCCGCATGGTTCCTGGGTGGGGGGAGGGGGTTGGTATGCTGACAAGGCTCCCAATGGCCGTGCAGGGTCCTGCTGCTCACGGGTAAACTGTAGAGTGCCGGGGCCCCAGTCCACTTCTCACTCCTGCGGTGAGGCACTTCCTTGCAGCCCTAGCAGCCCTCCTGCCAGGCCCTCTGCTGGGGGGAGACCCTCACCGCCAGTGGCCAGCAGATCGTCCACGACAACCACCTTCTGCCCCGGCTCCAGGGCGTCTCTCTGGATTTCCAGCTCAGCCTGCAGATGGGAAGCAGGCCCACGGTCTGCATGTGTCTGGAAATGGCCTGGGAGGTGACGCTGACAGGACGCCACACGGTCTGAGCCCCACTCTCAACCCACCCAGCGGTTTCCTGGCTGCGTGAGCTAGCCTGGTGTCTCAGGCTGAGCACCACCCACGGCAGGGCCACTGACCCCACAACTATCCCTCGGGGACCCAAGCGGTGCACGCAGCCCACTCACCTTGCCATATTCCAGGGTGTATGAGGCAGACACAGTGGGGCCAGGGAGCTTCCCTCGTTTTCGGATGAGCACGCAGCCCAAGCCAAGCTCCTGGGCCAGGGAGGGGCCGAACAGAAATCCTCTGGAGTCCAGGCCTGTTGGCGAGAGCTGGGGTGTCAAGGGGCAGCTGGGGGGCACCGCAGCACGAGCTCCCCGTGGGCCAGTGCTGGAAGAGGACACGGAGCCTCTGCAGTGACAGAAGGCCCCTAGCTCTGTCGGCTCCAGCTACAGGACCAACGACATCCGTCCTCTTGCACCCACCGGGCACAGGGAGTGCTGGGTGCTGATGGGAGCTGGGGAGCCGGGGCCAAGGGCCAGGTGTGTCTGGCACGGGCCTGTACGTGACTGCGTGGCCTCAGGGGAGTGACCGGACTTCTCCCCATCTCTAACGGGCTAGCAGTGACCATGGATCAGACTTGAACGCCTCTTGTCATCCTTAAAAGCAGCATCTGCCTGGAAAGGGGCAGCGCAGGCCCTCACCCCACCCAGGGGTGCAGTGGCAGCAGCTTCCGGAAGGAACCCCCTGGAGGACTCAGCCAAGTGGAAGGCTGTGGGCCCTCCCAGAGGCGGGGAGCCACGGGCGGGCCAGGAGAGGGGCTCGCACAGGGACAAGACCTTCCAGGGTGCGCGTGGGGAAAGGGCCCGGCCCGCGGCTCAGTACACATTGGAGAGGGAGAGACTGGTCAGACCCTCCCTGGGGAAATTCAGCCGCGGGGCCCCACGTGTCCGGAGCTGAGGGCCAGGAACTTGGTTGGGGGGGGACGCTGCCCTCCGCCGTACCCACCCTCAGGCTGCAACGTGGGGCGCAGCGGGTCCATCCCTACAACCCACCAAACACCCGTGCAGCGTTCGGCGTGTCCCCTGAGGGTCGCCCCCCGAGCCCCTCCCAAGCAACCGCGGGGCGTCCGTCCTGTGTTCGCTCTGCCCGGGGGAGAGGAGCGCACACGCCACCCTCACGGGGCCTGGCGCAGACCCGGCGACCCCGCCAACCGCACGGCCTCCCGGGGCGTCCCCCTGGGGTTCAGGCACCCGCCCCCGGCCCCTCCGCTTGCCCACGATGTAGTCGATCTTGCCGCCGTGGGTCTTCTTCAGGTGGTTCGCCAGGAGGCTGATGGAGGCGCGGAAGGAGTCGGGGTCCTTCAGGAGGGGCGAGATGTCCCTGGCACGCAAGAGCAGGCCGGGTGACCCCAGGGGTCGGGACCGGGCCCCGCGCCGCCGCCCTCCCGTGCCCCGCTCCGTCCGTCCGTCCGTCCGCGCGGACCACGTGGTCGGCCGGCCCGCACCTGAACAGCACCCCCGGGACAGGGAAGTCCGGGAAGCTGCGGATGCGCCGCGCCACCAGCTGCAGCTCAGGGTCCGCCATCTGGCAGCCGGCGCTTGTCGGCGAGCGGGGAGCGAAGCTCGGCGGCTGGGGGCGGGGCCGGCAGCTCTGCGCCTGCGCTCAGTGCCGGTGGGCGGGGCCGATCGTGGGGCGGGGCCGCCGCCACCGCCCGAAGGAACTACCGTATTTCATCGAATCTTAGGTGCCACCGTTGTTAAGGCGCGCTTGTTTTTCTGTACCCTGAACAAACGCGTCCCCGCCTAGGGCGGTTTGCGCGCGGCCGGGGGGCGAAATCGGCGTCTACGCAGGCCCGACCGGGCTCCCGGGGAAAGCCCGAGGGGCGGGGGCGCCGGGCCTGGAGGGGTGGGGCCGGCCCCGGGAGAGTCTGGGAGGAAGGAGGGCCAGGGCCACCCGAGAGCACCGCCCCGTCAGCGGAGGTGGGCGGTGGCTCGGCAGCCCGGCGCTGGACGGAGCGAATTCCACTCCGGCGCACCCCTCCCCCTCCCGTCACCTTCCGCAAAAATATAGCTCTTAAAAAAAACAAAACCAAAAACGCCTGTTCCTTTATTCTAAAACTTTTCTTCATAATTTCCCAAGTCTTACAACGGTGCAGCTTCGGCATCACAATCCCCGCAGAGACGTGAAAAGCCCCCTCTACGGAAGGCGGCTACGCAAGCCTTCGGGCAGGGGCGGGGAGGGAGCGGTGAGGTGGCAGTCTACACCCGCTTGCGCAGGCCCCTCGCGGTAGGCCACACCCGAGCCAGGGGAGGAGGGTCGGCGGGGCAGCTGCGAGGCACCGCCTTGCCCCACAGGGTACTGGGGTCAGGATCCCTGAGGACGGTGGAAGAGCAAGGTCCCCCCTGGACCAGGGGGGTCTTCCTTGGCTGCGGTCAGGATCCCCCTCCACGTCCACAACCCCACCCTGGAGGGGTGCAGGGGGACCCTCTGCATAGGGCCAATGGGCCAAAACAGGATTGGCACGGCCGACTGTGACAGCGAGACTCAGGTCGCAGACACGTCCTCTGGATCCTGGGATGGAGGCCGGCAGAGGGAGGCCGGAGGGCAGCATTCAGCTCTGGGGCTGAGGGTCACCGTTGGCAGGGTCAGCCGGGCCAGGACTAGGTCTGGGCCACGTGGCGCCTTGCAGGTCCTGCTGCTGGCGGCAGGTGAGGTGTGTCTGGTGTGGGCAGGGCAGAGGGCAGCGGGGCTCCTCCGGCGCGGGAGCCCTGAGGCAGAATCCTCCCGCCTGCAGGTATTAGTGGGGCCAGGAGCACTTCTCCGGTCTGGACTCCGGGGGCGTCAGGCACTTCCCTAACTTTTCACAGCCTGGGGGCGCCCAGTTCTGGCAATAAGAAGAGAGAACACGAAGTTGCTCAGTAGTGGCCCGACTCCTGCCCTGCCCCACTGCCTCTTGGCCTCAGGGTGAGGACCCGCGGCCAGGCAGCCACCGGCCCTGCTGTGTCTCCACGTTTCAACAACAGCTGACTCAGGAGAGTCCTCAGCCTGCTCAGGATCATCCACACAAAGCTCTCTGATCGTCAGCTGGGGTCAGAGCTGGCCTGTTTCAGGGGAGCCCCTCGGCAGGGCACGTGAATGTCCACACTTGCTCTGTATGGCCGTATTTCTCCCGGTCCGGAGGAGGGAGCCTTCCTTGTTTCGCCATGTCCCCCCACTGCCCATGCGGTGTCCCTGTGCCTTGGTCAGGAGACTCAGAATCACCCTGGGGGCACTCCCCCCACAGGGGGCCTCAGAGGCTGTTAATGAATCAGAACATCAAGGGCAGTGAGAACCCGGTGAAGGTCTCTCCTGCACTGCGTGGCATCACGTGGCCTCTGGTTGCCCATGCAGGGTGGGGCCGGCCGCTGGGGCAAGGCAGGCTTCGGATAAGGAAGCTGTTCTCAACGTCGGACGCAGAGCAAAATGACAGAGTGTGTGCAGGATACAGACTCTGCCAGCCTGGGAGGTTGTGGGGAGCCAGCACCCATGATTCTGGAGGCTGATCCACACTGCTCTGGTCTGCCTTCAGTTCACTTGTGGGATTTGCGGGGGAGGGCTGGTCCCCCAGTTTTTCCGGGTCCAGGGGTCAGCCAGCTGCAGCAGCGTCCCAGCCAGGTCCCTCCACCCCCACGTCCACTACATTTGCACGCGGTAGGCAAGGACGCTGCCACCTGGAGCCCCAGCCTGGGCAGGCACCACATGCATTCGCTGACAGAGGGCATGCTGGGGGTGGGGACAGCTCACTTTCACAGAAAGATTAAAGATGGGGCTTGGAGTGGGCGTGGAGGGCTCTCAGGCTCCTGGGACCCCAGGCACCTTGGTGGTCCTGAGACGGGGACCTTCTGCTGCACTGCTGTGAGTTCACAAGGCAGACCGCCCCTCTGAGGGAAGGAGGCAGCCCTGCCGGCTTCTGCCCTGAATGTCCTTCTTGGGGAGCCTCAGGACACGAAGCCCCAGATGTGGACAGCAGCGACAAGGCCACCCCCACACTGGCCCTGGCTAACGAGGCAGCCTTGCCCGCCCTATGATCATGCCCAGCATGATTAGCTGCTAATGCCCGACTCGGTCTTCCCAGCACACGCCCCCCACGCCCACGCCCCCCACGCCGCATTGGCTCCTCAGCGCAGGCTGGACTCCACGTGGCAGCTGCGACGTGCTCAGCTGCCCTCCAAACCACCGCGCGGGTCTGCGGGCCGCTCGGGGAGAGGGGCCGTCCAGCTGGAACGCGGGGCTACGCCATCCTGATGGTGCTCGGTGGGTTTTGGGGTGCAGCCAAAGCTTCTGACACTGGGACACCGGAATCACCCATCTTTGTGGAGCGGGGTGCCACACACACACAGTTACAGGGACAGGACTTGCAGGCGAGTGCCCACAGGGTTCCAGGAGGTCTGTCCCTGACGGGACCTTCAGGCCATCAGCCCAGCATGTCCACACCTGCAGAGGAGCCAAGCGAGCCCCTGCCCCACCTGGGAGGTCTGCACCAGAGCAGCAGGACAGAAGGGGGGCTCAAGCCCACAGCCCCAGCAGCCTCCAGAAGCACAACAGCTCCAGTCTATGGGTGAGGGTCTGGGGTGTGCAGACGTCACACGGCCCCAGGGACACCCTCCCAGCATCGGCAGCCCGTAGCGTATCAAGCACTTACCATGACGGCCTGGTTGCACATGTTGAGCTGGGGCTGTCCAGGGACCAAGGTCTTCTGGTGCTGCCGGACGACCAAGGTGACCCTGCGAAGGGCATCCAGGTACTCGGGGCTGGCAAAGCTAGAGGCAAGAGTGCCAGGTCACTGAGGGAGGGAGGCCCGGGCAGGCCATCGAGGTAGGCCACCTAAGCAGGTCGGGAAGGGGCCTGGGAGTGAGGGATCCCTCCCTGATGGAGTCACCAACCAGCCGCCCCCACCTCTACCCCTGTGCCCAGGAGCAGGCCTGCACCTCAGGAACCTTCCCCACAAATGAGGTTGCGGGCACAGCGGCCACGACTCCTGCCTCACCAATCAGGCTGCCCGGCCAGCACCCCCAAGGGCACCGCCAGGGTCACACGCACCCCCAAGCAGACCCAGATCTCTGCAGGCTCCTGGTGCCTTCGGCTTTCTCGGTCCCTCTGGCCCAGATTTGTGTAGCAGGAGCAGTGGGTCCTGCCCTGCTCATCATGGTCTCTGGATCCGCAACTGTGGCACTCCCAGGTCAGCCCTGCTCCTCAGGCCCTCCACCCCGTCCGGCAGGCTGTGCTCACCGCACACACCGCCTGCAAGCTTTTCAAAGCAGGTCTCAAGGCCTGTGTCAAGTCTTTCCACGATTCTCTGGCCAGACGCACTGGGAAGGACCGGCTTAAGCTAGGTTCCGCAGTCTAATTGGCAAGGTCTGCCCTGGTCTCCTCGTCTGGAGCATGGACACAAGTGTGACGGGGGCACGTGTGACTTCTGGGGGACCCTGGGGGCAGTCATGCTCCTCCAGAAATCGGGCCCTGCCATCCACGCCCATGGTCCTGCTGGGTCTTGGCTCTGAAGTTACTTCCAGGGGCAGAAGGGGAGCTCAGACTGCTTTTTCCCAGCCTCCTGCTGGTCTAGCTTGATCCCCAACCCCACTCGCACGTGGCCCTGGGCTCCAAACCTGTGGCTGGTGATAACCACAAGGGGCTCCCAGCTCCCACCTGTAAGTGTCCTGGAGCGTCCATAACAAATGGCCACAGACTGGGGCTTAGACCACCGGCATCTCTTCCCTCCCGGTTCTGGAGGCTGGAGTCTGAGATCCAGGCAGGAACGCACCCCGTTGGGAAGCTCCAGGGGTCCCTTGGCAGTGGTCATGTCCCTTCATCTCTGCTTCCGTTTTCACGTGGTCTCTCCCCTATGTCTGCATTCCCTCTTCTGTCTCCCATGGATACTCTCATTGGAGGTAGGGCCACCCTAGTCCAGGACAACCTCACCTCGACCCTCACCTTAACTACCCCTACAAAGTCCCTACTACCAATAAGACCACGTGTGAGGTTCCAGTAGCTGTAGGTGTGGGCACACCTGTTTCCTTCCCAGGGTCCTGGGCCTCAAAGCTGGACAAAGGTCCCGGGCAGTGTCTCAAGTGCTCTGGATGGCACGGCAAGGCCCCGTCCCAGAGCCTCGCTGGCAGGGGCCCTGCGGTGGATCTTTCCAAGCTGTGCTGCCTGCCATGCACAGAGCTTCTCGTCCACCCCACACCTGGACCCTCAAGCCCCCAGTGCAGCCGTCCCTGAAGGCAGCCCAGGTGGGGGTCACACCGACCCGTGGGAGAGGTAGACAGATGGCAGGCAGACGGGCGCACCCGAGAAAAGCAGGCCACGCACGGCACCGTGCCGGAAGAAGCAGCGTTTGCCACGGCAGACACCAGAGGACAGGCCTGGAGCACCTGTTGGGGGCAGGAGGCCCCCGTGTGTTGCTTTGTGCTCTTCTGTGTCTCCAAGAGCTCAAGACGCGCATTTGACTCTTTGGTAACACCCAACCTGCTGGTGAGCACCTGCACTTGGTTGGGCCCGGCCAACATCTTCTCAGCAGCCTAAAGGCCTCCCCGCGCCCCAGCTCACCTGAGGGGGTACCTCTCCCCCGGGTCTCGTCCCAGGTGGAAGATCAGGGGCAGCTTTGTGTGCTCCTCCTGTGTGTGGGTGGTGACTCCAGAGACATTCTGCCCAGGGCAGAAATCAACACCCTGAAACGAGATGCCGGGCGGACGGTGAGGGCTGTGTGCATGTATGTGCGTGTACACATGTGTGCGTGTGTACGCACGTGTGTATGCGTGTGTGCACGTGTATGCACGCGTGTGCGCATGCATGTGCGTGTACGCGTGTGCACCTGTGAGCATGTGCGTGTACGTGTGTGCGTGAACGTGTGCATGCATTTGTATGCGTGTGTATACGTGTATGTACGTTTGTGCATGTGCGTGTACGCATGCGTGTGTACATGTATGCACGTGTGCACGTGCGTGTACGTGTGTGCATGCGTGTGTGCACGTGTATGCACGTGTGCGCGTGCGTGCATGCACGTGTACGTGTACAAGTGTGCATGCATGTGCGTGTATGCGTGTGTACGTGTGCATGTGCACATACACACGTGCATGTATGCACGTGCACATACACACGTGCGTGTACACGTGTGCTCGTGTGCATGCATGTGTGGTGTACATGCATGTGTGTATGTGTGCATGTACACACGTGTGTGTGCGTGTGTACATGTATGTACGCATGTGTGCGTGTACGCGTGCGTGTGCGTGTACGCCTGCATGTGTGTGTGTGCAACCACGCCCCAGGAGCCCAGGCAGCAGTGGCCATGCGCCCCGCGAGGCAGGAGCTCCCCGTTCCTGCGTGCTGCGTCCCAGGACGCACGAGTGAGTGCTCTGGGGCTGAGCGCAATGGAGCAGGCCTCCTGTAGGATGTCTTTCCCACATCCCTGGCCTCGGAGCCGCTGAGCCCTCATACCTGTGTTTTCAGTACCCCACTGTACCCCTTTTTGGGGAATGGGAACTCTCTTTAAAATGTTTTTGGGGTACCTGGCTGGCTCAGTTGGTGGAGCGTGTTAACTCTCAATCTCGGGGCTGTGAGTTTGAGCCCCATGTTGGGTGTAGAGATTGGTTAAAAAATCTTGAAAAAGGGGTGCCTGGGTGGCTCAGTCATTGAGCGTCTGCCTTCGGCTCAGGTCATGGTCCCAGGGTCCTGGGATCGAGCCCCACATTGGGCTCCCTGCTCTGTGGGAGGTCTGCTTCTCCCTCTCCTACTCCCCCTGCTTGTGTTCCCTCTCTCACTTTGTCTCTTTCTGTCAAATAAATAAAATCTTAAAAAAAAAAAAAAAATCTTGAAAAAAAGAGTGCTACCGCTTAAACAAAATACATAAACTGTTTTAGCCCATCTGGTAGCTTCCAGGACGAAGCCACCACACCTGGTCTGCTTCCTGCGGCCGCAGTGCCCCGTGCTCAGCACTCCCTGAAGGCTCCTGGGCCGCCTCGGAGGCCAGGAAGAGACAGAGGCCCATGGCAGCGGCCCAGACGCCCTGGGAACAACAGGGACTGAAACGGACTACTGCTGACATGTTCGAGGACACAGGAGCACAGATCGTGTGCATCAGGCCCAGCTCCACACCCTCCCCAGGCCGCCCCTGCCCTCAGGGGTCCTCTCCTGGTGTGTGTGTGGGGGAGGGCAGCTTCAGCTTCTGAAGTCAGCGTGTGGCATGAGCACCATCCAGGTGCTGGGATGGCCCTGGGGCTCCCTCCCAAAGCTGCTGCGCTCATGGCCTGGAGCTCTGTCCCCAAGGCTTGCAGGATGCGGGACTCCCTGACTTGGGAACAGGAAAAGCCAGAATCCTGACGTCCTGGTGAGCCCAGGGCCCCTCAAGCAGCTTGGCTCCAGTCTTCAGCCAACACAGGACACGGCTTATAGGGTCTGGAGAGGTGGCTGTGACCTGTGCACGTGAACCCCAGAACTGGGGCCTGGGGACAGACGTGTGCCGCTCGCTTCTCAACCACGAGCAACTGGAAGGCTTTCTGCAGGCCCCAGTGCAGGCGATGGGCAACCCCCCCGTGTGTGACCCCCCCCCCCCCGGTGTCTGTCAGGGACAGCTGGCCAGTGGAGCAAGTAATACTCTGCTTTTCAATAAAGCAGGAGGTAAGGAACCCATGAAATTTCATTTATCTGCACTGAGCTGTGATTCTTGAATCAGTGGCCAGAAAAATAAGGAGAATCGAAGATGGAGAGGGCAGCCAATAATGGATGCCCAAGTGGGCAACCCCTTGACCTTCTGGGAGCAGAAGTGTTGGAGAACACGTATGGATTCAACAACGAGAGAGCCACCACCTCCAGCACAAAAATGTTGGTAGCTAATGGTCTAGACAGAACACACAAATCCTCATTCAGATGCAAATCAAATACGGGATTTAATTAAGACGCTGCTCATTAGCACAGAATTTCCCTTACGACTGCTGTCCCGTGAGGGAGGGCGCGGCCGTGGGGCATCAGAGCCGAGCCAGCCCCAGTGGCCCCTTCCCCCTCAGAGCCCAGGCCTGTGCACAGAGCGGAGCATGGGGAGCGGGGCACACCTGCCCCTCCGTAGCCCTGGCCCGTGGAGCCCTGCACTTAGGCTAAGTGTGGGATGTGTGGGATGTGTGTACCCCACTCCTGCTGTGCCCTGGGCTGGTACAGGGAAGCTGGCCCCTCCCTCCTCCTCTGCCCTCCCTGCTCAGCCAGCCCCAGGGGAACGGAAAAGCCTGACCTGGGGTGTGGCCGGGCCCCAGGGATAAGAGCATAGCTGAGAAGCTAGCAAGGTCCATGTGGGGGATTCCCAAGCCAGGGACCACAGACCTGCACACACTGGCTGAGACGCACCCCAGGCCTGTCCCTTAGGTTGGGAGCCTGCCCGGGCCTGGCTGTGCCCCAGCAGGGCAGCCCCGTGGCTTCTGAACAAAGCTGCCGGCAGCGTGTCAGCCGCCTGGAAGGGCTGGGAAGAGGTGGCCTGCCATCCCCCTGGTGCTCCAGAGAGCGGCCAATGGCCGCAGGGACGCTGTCACCCTTACCTCTTGGGCCCTTCGCACCCTCACACGCCCCCTGGGTCATAGTGACCCCTGGAGGGAGAAGGGCCATCAGAACAGCCGACGGTCAGCCCACTCCCCCACCGGGCAGCTGCCCCCCAGGCAGGGACTCCCCTGACCTCTACACAGAGGAGAAAAGAACCGTGTGCTTCATCTGCTGAGAATTCAGAAGCTATGCCAAGCCAACAGCCCTGAGGGAGAGGGAGCCCTGTGTCCGCGGGCGGGGATGGCCTCTCCCGATACTTCCTGGCCCACCGTAAACACAGGACGGGTCACCCAGGGAGCTGCTCCACCTGCAGAACTTTCTGCACTTTCCCAACACCCTTTCTGAAAGAAGCTCCCCCAGCTCTTCCGGGTTTCGGCCCGCGTGGAAGCTGGGACGGGTCTTATCTGGGCCGGGGCTGACTGGACCCTGACCCGAGGGGCCCCAAGAGCCTGCAGGGCCAGGGAGCCCCAGGGGGGCCTGAGCAGTGGCTGCTCCTGTGCCACCTGGACTCTCGGGCAGCCGACAGCGGGGCTGGAGAAGGCCCTGGAGGGAGAAGCGAGGCCACACAGCTGCCCCCAAGCCCACATGGCCAGGCTCTGGGTTTTCGGGTGCTCCTATGACTTCTTAGCCTCTGAGCACCTAAAGGACAAACCACATGCAGCCCTGCCTGATAGGAGATGGGGTCCCAGGTGCTCAGGATGGCTGAGACTGTACCTGAAGAAAGGACGGGCTCAGCTGCGGGGAGGGACAGCAGGTGCGGGGACCCTGGACACAAGCTAGAAGGGCTGGGGGGGCCTGGAGGAGTCCTGTGCCAAGAGCGCAGACCAGGCAACGGGGCTCTGCCATGCCCTTTACCGAGAGTGTTCTGGTAGAGGTTGGGGATTGCTGTCACAGTGAGTCTGGAAGCCCACAAGTAAGGTGGCGAGCACGAGAACCCTGTGGCCACCAGCCCTCTGCAGAGGCCTCTGGTCCTGGCCGCCTGTTGGCCTGCGCTGACAAGAGGTGTCCTCCTAAGGACAGGGTGTTGGGGGTGCAGAGTCCATGGCACCTCAAGCCCCCGTACCTGTCTGAACTCCTCCCAGGAATTGGTCCAGGTCCAGAAATGGGCCTTGTACTGGCCAAGGGTGACCGCCATCAGCGTGTTGCCGCGGTAATAGAATATTGGCCTGTTGGGGAGGAAAGGAGAGGGTCAGGAGACATGAGAAACTTGTGGGCGCACGGTTATGCTGACATGTTACAGAAATGACTATGCTGGGCTCACACTGGGCACAAAGGTGAACAGGTCCACCAGGCTGTGAGGGGTGAGCCCCATGGTCGGTCCCCTTGGCTCTCGGCCCTGGGGGTGAAGCTGGTGGCAGGCAGAGAGCGGCTCTGGCCCTCACCTCGGGAAGACAGCCTGCTAAGACCACCACCACCTGCACCCCCTCCCCACCAGTAAACCAGCTCTTGTGCAGAGTTCAAGACAGAAAAGACAAGCAACGCTGAAGACACCTAACAATGCTGTCTCATCTGCGCCCTAAAGCCGAGGCCGTGGGCGGCTCCGAGGACGGTGGGGCCGCTCCCCTGCTACACGACTTGGCGTTTCAGAATTCATGTCCCTCGGAGCAGCCTGGGAACCTTGTTTTGTTTGAGCAGAACAGCAGCTGGTCTCAAGCCGGGGAGAAGCTGAGTCTGGACACGAAGGATCCAGCGGGGATGGAGCCCAGGATGGGGCCGGGCTCCGGGGGTCTGGAGGGCTGGTGACTCGGGCAGAACAGTCTGTCCTCCCTCCCGCCTCCCTCCGCCCCGAGCACTGGGCCTGGATGTGCCCCGATGCCGCAGGTCCTGGGAATGGTCTCGGAGGACCAGGGCTCTTGCCCCTCATGTCCTCCCCCTGCCCTGAGCCCCAGCTGGGGGAGGAAGCTGCTTTGTCAGCTAGGCTTGGCTCTGTCACCTGGTGCTGGGGGGCCAGTGCCCGGCTGGAACCCACCTGTCTGTCAGCTGGCCCCAGAGCATGGCGGGGAGCAGGTCCAAGCCGTCGATCACCCTGTCACTGGGCGGCGCCAGGCCTGCGAGGGACAGGCTGGTGGTGAAGAGGTCCATGATGCTGCCCAGCTGGTGGCTCACCTGAAATGATGGGACGGAGGTGCACTCAGGATGCCCTGTGCTGACCAGATGGCAGCCAGGGCTCAGGTCCCCGGGCATGGGCCCATCTGCTGCCCAGCCAGGGGCATATGGTCGCACCCCCTTCAGCGCACACACACAGGGACAGAAACCCTCTCTGCCCGATGTCCACATGCGGGTGCACACACCCTGGCCCTGGCTCCTTCCTCTGGGCCCTGCCTTTGCAGCCTCACCCTGCTCCAGGCTGTCCTGGAGTCCCTCACGTCATTGAGGGTCAGGCTGAAGCATGTGGGGCCACCACACTCACTCTCCCGCCTCAGGACCCCGCAGTGGAGGGACAAGCCCTCTCCCTGGGAGAGTGGCTTTGGGAGGTTAGGGCCGAGTGCAGATTCACTGTCCCATCCCCAAGTCCCGAGCCTTCGTTTCCGTGGTGACTATGAATTGGAAGGAGACAGGTGAGAAGAGGGGGCAGGAAGACGGCGGCGGGGTCCAGCCTGGTGAGGCCGGCCCCTCTGAGCCCATCTGTTACCATTACTTTAACACTGAGGTAGGAGCATGGGTGGAAAAAAGACCCATGAGGCCCAGAGCAGCACGGAGGAGGGGCCGCTGGCTGGGGCCGACAGGAGGGCCCAGAGACTACCCTGGCCCAAAGTGCATGGTCTAACTCCACGCAACCAGCAAGACGGGTCTGAGGAAAGCAGAGCTCTCGGCCAAGGGCCGTGTGCTGGTCCCCATGGATGCACGTCTGCTCCCCTCATCTGGAGCCCACCGGGTTCCTTCTTCCCACCACACAGCTCAGTGGCCTGGATCTGGGGGTGAGGGCCGGGTCAGTGGGGAGGCCTGGAGAGTCTGCTGGCAGGCTTGGTGAGGCAGGCACCCCGTGTGCACGCAGTTGGCTGGGACCTCCAGCCACTGCTTCCCACGCCTGGGATCACGTGTGGACACAGAGCACATAGGCCACGGCTGCTCACATCGCAGGTTCTGCAGCCCGGTGTGGGGGAACGGGAAGGCATTTGACTTAAACCTTCTGCGGAGGTTTGCAGAGAGGAGGCGGCGGCCAACGCATTATCTCATTGCCACAGCTTCTCTCTCTTGCCACTTTTTTTCGACAAACAGAAAAAAAGAAATCCAAATATTTTAACTGCCTGGAAAAAATAAATGGGGAGGGGACACTGCCATGTGGGTGGCATGGTGGGGTAGACCAAGATATCTGACATCATCCTTATGCGCACAGGACAGCTGGGAACACACAAAGAAACTCTTCCTGAAGGACAGAAACTCTCAACAGGCATGACGTCTTTAAGAAAAAGCAGTCCATCTGCTGTGGGCACGTGGGCGTCCCAGCTGGTGCCACCACCACTCCCAAGACTCCACTCTGGAACAGTCACCCTGCCAGGCATGAGGGGGGCTGAGTATTTGAACCTGCTGGACACACGACACGGTAGTTCAATAAAGTCCCCCCCTGGTCATCACAGGGCACAGGCCTCACAACCTGTCGGCTTCAATTTCAGCGTGTGCCGAGGGACACAGCGCAGGGTAGGCCACACGGCTCTGTTCGGCACACTCTCTCCTCTAGGGAGCAGGGCCCAGAAGGGTGGCGAGCCAGGCGGATGAGGATGATCCCAAAGGCTGGAGCCCTCCCTTGGGAGACAGGTCCCCGTGGAGATGGTCCCGGAGGGAGAAGCTGTGGGGGAGCCAGGGGCGGAGGGGGGGCTCCATGCCCCACGCCTGGGGCCTGCTCCCCACTCTGCCACCTGACAGCCAGCAGTCCTGACAAGTGCGTTCCTCTCCTGGGGCCAGTTTGCGAACATGTAGCATGGGAGCGGTGGTGACGGTGGTGACCGATGGTGATGTGATAGTGGACAGAACACCACCCACCCCTACTGAGGTCCACGTCCCAATCCCCAGACCCTGTGAACGTTTCCTTACATGGTAAAGAAGGAATCAAAGCTGCCAAGCAGCTGGCCTTAAAACAGGAGCTGATCCTGGATCCCTGGGAATGGCCGGGGGGCCAGAGCCAGAGCGACGAGGGTCACCGCGGGGCCCTGACCGTGGACATGGCCGGGGGCCAGAGCCAGAGGGACGAGGGTCACCGCGGGGCCCTGACCGTGGACATGGCCGGAGGGCCAGAGCCAGAGGTACGAGGGTCACCGCGGGGCCCTGACCGTGGACAGTGACCAGGGGGGCCAGAGCCAGAGCGACAAGGGTCACCGCGGGGCCCTGACCATGGACATAGCCGGGGGGCCAGAGCCAGAGGGACGAGGGTCACCGCGGGGCCCTGACCATGGACATGGCCGGGGGGCCAGAGCCAGAGGGACGAGGGGACACTCGACTGGCCGTTGCTGGCCTGGACGGTGGAGGGAGGGGCCGTGGGTGCCTGGAGAAGCCCGGAAGGACGAGGAAACGGATGCTCCCTGGAGCCTCCAGAAGGAAGTAGCCCTATGATGCTGTGAGCCTGGCCCAGGAGGCCTGGCCGGTCTTCCGACCTCCAGCCCGAGTGGATGAGGGTGCTGTGTAAGCCACCGAGCGTGGCAACTGTGACAAAAACCCTAAGGGAGTCCGTGTCCCTCGTGGTGTGGCTGAGGGCTGAACTGATCACACTGCTCCCTGGAGCACGTAAAGGGGAGAGACCAGTCCAGAGACCGTGGAGGAGCATTTCCAAACAGTGGCCCTGACACCCAGTATTTGTCAGGAGTCTGAACTGAGCCGCTCAGTGAGAGAAGACCCTGTGTGGGGGGTTCTCGGTGGAAGGAAGGACAGAGCAAAGGGCTCCGAGGGGCAGAAAAGGGCTGCTATCTCTGTGAGTGCGCCTATGGAACCAGTGGCCTGGGAGACACACTTTGCGGCCAAACAAGCTTTTAGAAACTCAGCATGCCCTGTGGCTTCAGGTATTCATGATGTCCACCGGCACACTAAGGCTCTGACAAGTCCTGCAGGAAAGAAACCTGTTCAACTTAGCTGCACTCAGGACTGCCACGTTCAGGGACAGGCAGCCTCGTCACCTGATGTCCCAGGGCCTGCCCCACCTGCCCTTCACCAGCTACCTCCTGGTGTGGAGGAACTGGGAGTCTCACCTGCGCGAGCGGCTGACGTGACTCACCTGGCCTGCAGGGATTTTCCCAGGCCACCACGCGATCGCAGGCTCCCGCATCCCACCTTCAAACGTGGTCTGCTTCCCGCACAGAAAGGGGCCGTTGCTACCACCTAGGAAGACAGAGTCGTCACGCACCAGATGCCTATCCTGAGTCCCCAGGGTGGCACCCACCCTGCTGGCCACTCGCTTTCAGGAGCTGTCCGTCTGTCACAGCCTGCCCGCCACCTTCCTGGCCCCTCAGGAATGACGCTCAAGGTCAAGGTCACAAGGCCTGCAGATCGTGTGGCAGTACTGCTGTGTCCCTAAGGCAGTGCGACCGCTCAGAGACAACGTGACCACTGCCGTTGGCCAGAGGGGCAACACGGGTCCCAGGGAGCCGATGGGGTTCACGGCTGCCTGCAAGGCCCATGTAACTGAGACATTCGCGTCTTCCCGCGGCCCGTGTGCGTGTGGGGAGCCTGATTCAAATGTGTCGGCCCCTGGGTGCCCCGGCGGGTGCTCCGTCGAGCGCAGGGCAGGTTCTGTTTCTGAGAAGTCCCACTGTGAACCACGCGTGTGGAAGGGCTGGGGGGCAGGCAGCCCCGGCCAGGCTGGCTCGCTCCCAGAGCCCAGGACAAATGGTGCCCTGCTGCCTCCAGCACCAGCGGCCTGGAGCTCCCGCAACCCCGGCCCCCGTGACAAACGGGAGGGCTGTTGTCCCTCCCGGGCCGGCCCTGAGCCCCGCCCCCACATGCGCGCGGGCAGAGCCAACGGAAGAGCAGCGAAGTGCGCATCAGGGCAACGAGCAAGCACAGGTAGACGGAACGCACACGCGAGAGAATCGCGCCACACAGCGAGGAGGACCGATGTGGCTCCTTCTGGGGGCTTCATGGGTCCCACGGGTGCTGACGAGGGTCCACTGCTTGTCCTCCTCTATTTCGCACGCTATGAGGCGAGCGTACGGATTTACATTCTTACAACTAAGCACGTGGATTTTGTGTTTGTGAACCATTCCATGCTTTAGGCACGAAGATGGGACACTGAAGCCCAGGCCTGGGAGGCTGGTGGTCCAAGCGAGGGCTGGCCATTGGGGGCTCTCGGGGCACCGAGCTGGGTAAGCGTAGCAGGGACAGAGGCATCCAGCCAGCCCGGGGCCTTTGCTGGGGGGCGGACAGAGGGTGTCGCCCTCACCTCTGGGACCATCAGCTGTACGGGGAGAGCCTGCGTGAGGACAAGATCCCTCCATGGGCCGTGGACGGCACTCCTCGGGACCCCAGACCAGCCAGGCCCAGACTCTGAACTGTTGTTCTGTCGCCAACATGATTCCTTCTCAGCTTGAGCCCATCTGACCCCGGGAAACCAGCCGTAGGAGCCCCCCCGACTGCAGGGTCCCCCGCACCTCCCTACCCAGCCCTGTCCCCCTGGGGTTTCCTGTTCCCCGTGGCCTTCCTTCCACAGCCCTCTGAGTGACTCAGGGCCCTGCTTAGGCCCCAGCCCCTTAAAGGAAAATGGGACAAAGAGACGTGCCCCCCGGGGGGGGGGCGACTTAAAGGACACGAGGGTGGGACCTCCTTGCTCAACAAGATAGAACAGCCTGAGAGCTTGCTGAGCAGCCCCAGGGGGTCACGGCCCTGTGGAGATACCGTCGTTGAGCCAAGCCAGCACTGTGGGGTGGGGGGCTGGGTCCCTGCTCTCCTAGACACCACTTCCCATGAGGTCTGGAGACGCTCTGGCCTTTCAGGAGAGAAGAGTACTCCATGTATTGTGGGTGTTGGTGGCCCCTGCCGGTCTCCTGTGTGACAGTCTGTTCCCACCAGACTAGGGCCCCCAGGAAGGAGCGGGTGTCTCCCTCATTGGACAGGCCCCAGGTTGGCCCCTTCACACTCTAACCAGGGTGGGTGAGTGGCCCTGATGGAGCCTCAGAAATCCCAGGGTCCCAAGGGCAGCCCCATCCGCAGAGGCGAGGGTGCGTGGAACACTGGCCTTGTTTAGGAGCAGAAATGAGGGCAGCGCCGTTGTCAGACGTGAAGAAAACAAACGTGTTCTCTGTGATCCTCAGGTCCCGAAGAAGCCTCATGATTTTCCCAACACTGTCGTCGATCTCCCGGACAGCATCCCCGTACCTTGGGGAGAAAGGGCGTCAGTGAGCAGTGAAGTCACGACTTCGGGAATGGACAACACAACGGACTCGCTGAATTCAAAGAGGGGACGAAAAGTCCAGTTCCCAGAGCTAACCCAGGACAGAACCAACCATACCACTACAACCCTCCTCCCACGAAGGCCGGGCTCATGGACAGCTTCGGGGAAGCAGGGGGGCTGCTGTCTCTTTCCGTGAGGGGTAACTGAAGACATAACGGCACTGAGCGCCCCGTCCCCGGAGGTAATCAAGCATGGCTGAACCCTCCAGGTGGGAGTCCATGTCTCTACAACCAAGGACTCACCGCCCTCGCCGGCTGGTGCCCAAGAAGGGCCGAGAAGCATAAACAGGTGCGTGAGTGGCATCGATGGCCCAGTAGAGGAAGAAGGGGCGCTGAGCCGCCTGCTGCCTCTTCATGAAGTCCAGAGCTTCCTGAGGAGAAGATGCCACCTTTGTGTGCCCAGAGGCCAGCCTCCCTCATGCGGGGCCTACCCAGCCCACGCTTCCATTACCTGCAAGTACATCTGCGTGAGGTTGGCTTCCCCAGTCTTCAGATTGATTGGAAATTCCTCATAATATCTGAAAATAACATAGACGCAGACAAAAATCAGATCTTAGAAGACCAAGAAAGCCTCCTTTTCTGTGATTTCACAGGCAAAGTTACGGGCCTCGTTCACAAGAAAGACGAAACGCGAATGTGTGTGTAAATGTCACTGAGGCTGGCCCACGGCAGCCCCCCCATCTGGGAGGAGCAACGTGTGAGGACAGGGAGGCTGGCAGAGGCGGGTGTGTGGTCACCCAGGGCCAGGGGCAGCTCACGGGGCGTAGGCGCTCTAAGCTGGCCAAGTCTGCGGCACCGCGAGCGTGCCAGGGAGCCCCGAACCACGCTTCCAACGGGGCGCGTTCTCTCTCCATGAGACTGCTATGAAAATGCAAGGGCCTGACCCCGCTTTCTGGCCCATGATGCACAGCAGTAACTTCCACCAAGGGGCGCCTGGGTGGCTCGGTCGTTAAGCATCTGCCTTTGGCTCAGGTCGTGATCCCGGGGTCCTGGGATCGAGTCCCACGTCGGGCTCCCCACTCGGCGGGAAGCCTGCTTCTCCCTCTCCCACTCCCCCGCTTGTGTTCCCTCTCTCGCTGTGTCTCTGTCAAGTAACTAAAATCTCAAAAAAAAAAAAAAAACCCCACAAAAAACTTCCACCAAAAATGTGAAATACGAAAGGAAGGAAGGAGGAAAGGAAAATCAAGCCACACGAATCTGGAGACAGACCGGGGCCGACCCCAGCAGGGCCACACTGCAGGCTCTGTGAAGGCAGGCCCGCAGCCAGTCGGGCGCACGGGGAGCCACTTGGCTCAGACAGCAGAGTGCTCCTGGCAGGCTCCTGAGGAAGGGGGCAGCCCCGTGGGCCCCTAGCACGTGGCCCACAGGCCAGCCTGGTGCAAACGGCCTCGAAGCCAGAGCCCAGGGCCGCTCAATGGCTTCAGGAACCAAACCTCAGAAGCTGAATGAACATGGTGCTGTGTGAACACGCCTTGTTCAGGGGAGGGTCTCGGTCTCATCGTATTGCTAACCTTTTCAAGGTTAAAGCCCCTGCAGATGTGGCTTAAGCAGCAACCCTAAGCCGCAGGTCCTATAAACCGCGGGCAGAGCCGCCAGCCGACAAAGCCAAGCGCTGGTGTGCTGGCACACCAACGCTGGGAGCAGGTGGTTCCAGAACCTCCGACCCGCTCCTAGAGCAGCACCAGAGGGCGGGGCTGGGCTCTGCTGTCTTCAGGGTGGGGAGGGAAGGGACCCGTTACCTGCCGACCATCTCCCAGTCCCTGTACACAGGGATGTTGGGCCTGGCCCTGTTGTCATAAGGTCCAAAGTGACAGTTGGGGGATCCAAACCACTCGTCGAATCCATGCTTCAGGGGGTGGAACTGAGGCCTGTGGCCCAGATGCCTAGAAACAGGAACCCAGGACACTTTAGGGACCCCTGCTCAGAGGTACCCCAAAGTCCTGAGCACGGACAACTCCTTGCCTTCACAGAACATTTCAGGGAGCAAGTGTCCCTCCCGGGCCCTACGTGTGCTGAGCCCCAGGCACCCTGAGACCTCTTCCTCCAGGCAGGCACCAGGACCCCACTCACCCCCGTCGAAGTCGAGGGCCCTGGCCACACAGGGTGTCCAGGCACAGAGGAGCACTCAAGCATCCCTCCGGAATGCTGGGAGGGGCTCTGGGAAGACACATGGTGAGCTATCTCACACCCACCAGAACCCACCCAGAACTCTGAATGCAGCCCCATCTCCATGCTCTGCTTGCTTCCTTTTTTCATTAGGACGGTTCTGTGGGTTCAGCTTTCTCTGAGATTGTGAGGAAGGAAATGTTCCAGGGAAGTAGTTACCAACCTCTCGGGATAAGGTCTTTAAGAGCCTCTTCTCCCAGTTATGGATAATCACGCCCCAAAAGATGGATGGGGGCTCTGGGTGAGCTGACCGCCCCAGCCTGGCCTCATCACAGACGGGGACAGCGCCAGTGACTCAGCACCCTGGCCCTGCACGGGGATGGGCGGGCCTGCAGGATGACAATGGCCATGCTCCCCAGCCCACGCTCTCTGTACTGCGGGCATCAGAAGCCCAGCACTCCCACCCCTCACAACCCTCCCTTTGTCAGTTCTGCCAATAGGAGGTGCCCATGGGAGGGGCCAGCAGTCCCTGAGCACAGACCCGTCTGCTCTTCAGAACGCACAGTGCAGGTAGACGGGGGTTTTCCACTCCGGCCACGGGCTCTTCGGTAGCACGGCAACCCCACTGGGGCAGTGGGCTCACCCCTGTGTCTCACGGCCACACAAGCTTGAAAGCAGAGTCTCCCTGCTCTGCTGCCTCTGGGGAGGCCTTGGAGCAGGTAGCCAGAGGGCCCACCTGCCTGCTCAGAGGTGCTCCAGTGGCTCGTGTGGATCCCTGGGCGCTGGTCACTAGGTCAAGGAGGGTGCGGTGTGGTGTAGTGGGGAAGGGTGGGCCATGCGGGGCCAGAACCAAAGTGCCCAGCGACAGAGTCTAAGAAAGATGCCAGTAGGTGTGTCTCTTGGGGCCTCGGCTGCCACGGCTGGTTCTCAGACGCTCTGCCTCCCGACTGCCACGAGGCCAACGCCGGCCTCTAGCCTCTGCAACCCCTCCGCCAGGGGCAGGAACATCGGCTCTGCTGGGCCTTCTCTCTCTGCAGATACCTGTCAGCTCTGCGCTTTGCACTTCCTCTCCGCGTCTTGTGTCTGCCCGGGCTTGCTGCTCCAGTGTGGTCATGTCTCCCCAGCCACGCCAGCACCGGCCGAGAGGGGTCACACTGGCTGAGCGTGGCATTCCAGCACACCCACATGCACCAGCTCGATGGCCTCTGCTTAACACAAACAGCCGACCGAGGTCTTGCTTATGCTAAGCCGTCAACTCAGAACAGCAGCGGGGCCAGCGCTGCCCTCAGGCGAGCGGGAGCGGGCAGCCGGCTGCGGCCCCTGGGACCAGGGCAGCCGGAGCTGGCTCCACCCAGCCCCAAAGTTGCCCAAGCCCAGAAGTCTGGCTCTGTGGCGCTGGGCTGGGAGGAAGAAGGTCAGGAAAGTCCACAGGCCTGTGATGGGACCCCGCCGAGACTGGGACCCCCACCCTGGAAGCCTGCTGGACCCAGGGCAGAGCTGCCAGGCCGGGCATCACAGGGCCCTTCCCTTCCGTGGGCTCCACCCAGACACGGCCCTGGCTGGCCTCGTGCCCGGCCTCTGCCAGTCTCCCCGGGCTTTCCGGGCACTGCCCGGAACTGTGCAGGCAGCAAGCACCCTCTCAGCTCTGCTTGGCCGCCACCACCTCGTCCGAGCACTGCTCGGCAGGACGGCTCCCAGCGAGACTCGGGAGCGAGGAAGCATTCGTTAGGCGGCTCCTGGATCACCAGAATTCTCTAACGATTAGACTACTGTTCCGGTTTCCGTGGACCTCCCACGGCTGTGACTACTGTGTTGTGCACGGGACGCGGCCAGGGCGCTCATCCTCGAGAAGGCAGTGCCAGCAAGCTGCGGAGTGGCTGAGGGCAGAGGGGCCACGGTGCAGGGAAGGAGGCGCAAGGAGGGCTGGACATCAGAAAAGGCTCCCCAGAGACGGTGGGCTTGCTCTCTTCCAAGAGCCCCACGGCTCGGGAAAGGGAGGAGAGAACGTGTGACCTTCACATCTTCCATCCGGGGCTGCACATCTGGGGGTCCCCATTGAACCTGCTCATCGCGGCATGCACAGCACGCACGCGCACCCCGTGGCCTCTGTGGTCACGACTGCGGGTCCGACGATCCCACACCAAGCGACTGTCCTTCACCTACTCCCGGCTGCTTCTCCGCTTCCCCACCAGACAGAGCGCCTGCGCTCGCCGGCCGGCTATGCCCGCCCCGCAGGAGCGTCAGGACTCACCACTTGCCCACAATCTTGCTGGCGTAGCCGGCCCCCTTCAGCAGCTCGGGCAGCAGGTGCTCCTCGTCTGGGACGCCGCCCACGATCTCCTGCGGCGTGTAGGCTGCAAGGGCAACGCAGGGTGTGCGCACACGGGGCTGGCTCCCTTGGCTTCCTACTCTGGAGCACGACCGTCCCGGCACACTTCCCGCTCTGAGCCCCGGCTGCTGGGCAGCCCCAGGGACAGAACGCAGCCGGGAAGGAGTGGTGCCTGTCCAGCCTGTCCTCGGCAAAGCAGCCGCCCGACTCTCCACCGAGGCCCCGAGAAGACCAGCACTCAGGCCACCTTCCTCTTCACTTACTTACGACACACGGTTTCTGACGGAGGCCTGCTCTAAACGATGGGCTACACCCACACAGAGCCTCTGAGACTCGGGAACGAGCTGGTGCTCGCTGAGCCAGCCCGCAGAGGCCGGGTCACATGTGAGGACGGCGGCAGACACCCCCGCCCGCCCGGCCCCCCTCACCGTCCGGTGCCACGGGAGCTGCCCGTGAGTACCACGTACCGTTTCTTGCGTGCCCGTTGGTGGTGTAGAAGCCGCTGCGGATGGGCAGGCGTCCCGTGAGCAGAGCTGCCCGCGCTACATGGAGGAAACAGAAACATCACAGCCTCCGTGAGGCTCCTGCTGGCGTCTCCAGAGAGCCTGGTGGGCACAGCGCCTGGCACGGCAGCTCTCGTGCCCCCCCACTGGCCTTCCTTCTCCTCCTTGGGGGAGCACGTAAGGAGTCTCCCCAGCACAAGTGGTTGTCCTGGGAGGAGGGGGCACTTGTCCTGAACCACCCACAGCCGCTCTGCTCCGGGAAGGAAGAGCAGGTGCCATGAGCAGCGACCTCTGCCCCCAAACCCCTTACATGCTCCGTGCTCTTGGTGGCCTGTGGCAGCATGGAGTCCAGGTGCTCCAGACTGCTGGGGCCCCGATGGGAGAGGGTTAGGGCCGCACCCGCCTGCCGGCCCTTCTGGTGCTCTGCTTGGAAGGAAGATGGGTGGAGCCCGAGTCCTGGTCCCCGCTCCTTGCGCCCACGGGCCAGCCACAACTTACATGGCGAGCACAGCGGGTTGGCTGAGTAGAAGTTTGGGAAAAGCATCCCTTCTGCGGCCATCTGGTCCAAATTCGGGGTCTCTCTGGAAGGTTCTCCATATACCCCCAGGTCGCCCCACCCCATCTGCAGAAGACAGCATGGAGAGGTCGAACAAGCCTACTTCCGTCTTGGGGGAGACGTGAGAGATAAGCCAAGGGCTGCCCGCCTTGCGCCCCACAAGCCACAGAGCTCCCACCACACCCCCGTGCCTGGCATGGGCTGTGGAGCGCCGTCAACTGGCTTTGCTACGTGCACCCCGCTCAGTGGAGATGCCCATGTGCTCCACTGCCTCTCAGCCTCTGGTGCTAGCATCTCTGGGTCACGGGGAACCAGCAACTCAGAACACAAACCTACGTACCACATAAAGAAGCAAGACCTCTGAAGTGTGTTGTGCAAACTCAGATTTGAAGACAAGCGGAAAGGCTCCCCACCAAGTGAAACACAACATGGCCACACGACTGGGCTGTTCCCCTCCCAGGCCTACCCACGAGAATGGGAAATGAGCACCACGCAGAACTACATAAATACATGAATGTCTGCGGAGACATGACTGACGACAGCCCAGAGCAAATGCACCAGGCGTCCAACAGCTGCTCGGTGGACACACAGATCGCGGTCTATCCACGCGGTACCACGCTGAACGTCATGTCTACTCAGAACCTGTGCACGGCCTTGTATTTGGAAACACAGGTGCAGGGGCACCTGGGTGGCTCAGTCAGTTAAGCGTCTGACTCTTGATCTCAGCTCAGATCTTGATCTCACAGTCGTGAGTTCAAGCCCCGAGCTGGGCTCCACGCTGGTGGAGCCTACTTTAAAAAAAAAAAAAAAAAAAAAAGGCACTGCCGGTGTAATCAGCCTGGATGAAGACTCACAAATCCGACTGCTGTCCCCATCAGAACACGGAGAGGCGGGACACAGACACAGGGGAGCCGTGGGAGGGCAGGGGCTGAGGGACACGGCCACAGGCCAGGAGCGCCAGGAGTCCCCGGAGCTGGAGGCGGCAGGAAGGGCCGCCCTCCAGAGCTCAGGAGGGGCCGGCCCTGCTGCCACCCTGACTTCAGACTCTGGCCTCCAGAACTGGGGCAGGAGAGATTCACTCCTGTTTGTGGTCAGTGGGGCTGCCCCAGGAAGCAACAGACGTGCACTGAACGACGCTGTGGGCCAGGACCAGACATGAGGACTGCGTGCCATGGGGTTCTATTTTCGTGAAGGGCCAGAACAGGCAGGGCCAGAGGGTTGGGAGGTGGATCGTGGGAGCTGGGGGAGGGGAGGCAGGTGCCTGCCAAGGGGCACGGGGCTTCTTCTTGGGCCGATGGACACGGCCTGAAGTGGACTGTGGTGGCTGCACAGTGCGCTGAGCCCACGAGACCCCGCGGACCTGCCCATCTAAGCCAGTGAGCGGCCTGCAGCCTGCACGATGTCCCCACACAGCTATCCGAAAAGTGCAGGCAGGGCACCTGGGTGGCTCAGTTGGTTAAGCGACTGCCTTCGGCTCAGGTCATGATCCCGGAGTCCCGGGATCGAGTCCCGCATCGGGCTCCCTGCTCGGCGGGGAGTCTGCTTCTCCCTCTGACCCTCCCCCCTCTCATGTGCTTGCTCTCTCTCAAATAAATAAAATCTTAAAAAAAAAAAAAAAGAAAGAAAAGTGCAGGCAGCCTGCAGGCCCCGACCACTCTCCTGAGTCAGCCAGGAGGCGGTCCCTCTGGCCTTTCAGCTCTGAATTCCTCTGGGTGTGGTTTATTCTGAAGTCTGTGAAACGGCTGTTCTGTTTGGTGACCACAGGCGCAAGCACAGAATAAGCCCCTGGAGGAAGGTGTGGCCACAGGAAGGATGGAGGATAAGCTTGGGGGCAGAAAAGGGACACTGTCCCTCAGTGACAGGAGTCTGTGAGGCCCCACACAGGGAAAAGGTCCCATATGTCCCAGTCGGGGGTGGGAGGGGCTGAGAGCATGGCCCGAGCCAGACCCAGCAGGCCGAGGTGCAGGTGGAGGGCGGTGCAGGTGGAGGGCGCGGCTGCCTCTGCCCCGAGGCCACGGGACTCACTTCCCTTCCTGGGATCCACCTTTCCTTTCACTAGAGCTGCTCACTGCTGGCTGTGAGGGGTCATCCTAGGCCCTCAGACTCGCATCAACATGCATCGAAGGACATACACGGTCTGCTCAGTGGCTCGGGTGCTTCAGGCTGGGGTCTCTGCCTGACAGGCCCACCACAGTCACACAGCGGCCGCTTCTGTTTAGCCCGACTTCACACTCCCCACTCCTGCCATACAGATAAGGACCCAAGACACAGCCAGCACCCGGGCACTCGGAAGTGGGCCTCTATCCCCCTGCCCAGCAGCCCCGTCTGCTGTGGAGAAGGGAGAAAAGTCAGCTCCACCGAAGAGACCGTGCTCAGCATCTTCTAAACTCATTTAACAGCCATCTGCAGGGGACCCGCCTGGTCCTGAGCGCACACCGAGGAAGAGTGAGACAGCTGCTGTCCTGGCCCTGAAGCCCCCGCGGCCAGAAGCCCCACCCTGGCCCGAAGCCCCCCAGCCCTGGCCTGTCTAGCAGGAGAGCCAGAGTTTCTATTTCTGCCCAAGTCACTGTGTGTTTTCTGTCAGTTGTCACCAAAAAGTCCGAACTAAGTTGCGTTTGCCAACCAGGACAAAAGTCTTCGAGACTTCTTCGCATATCGGCTGTTAAACAACCCCAAAGCCACAAGGAAGAACCTGCACAAGAGAGGCCCGGCCCCAGTCCTGGCCCTCGCGGCCGGCTGTTCCGGTTCCCTGCTGCCCGACGTGGGCACCCAGGCCAGGGGTGGGGAGCTGCCCATGAAGCCCCCTCAAGAAAAGCACTCCCAGGGCCGGTCCCGCACACCACTCAGGACCTCTTGGGCCTGAACCAACGCTTTCAACAGAAACACTACCACCTGTATACATCTGCGTTTTCCAGCAATCCCATAGAAAAGGCAAAAGAAAACAGAAAAGGTTCATGTATTTTAACCCTGTGTACCCGAAATGCGATCATCTGAACATGCCTTCAACACGAAACACTCCCGCCACTGGCGAAGAAACAGGCAGCTGGCTGTACACGAGGTCACCGCGGATGGGAGGGCAGGAATCGGAAAGGCAAGCCATTGCGGAGTCTGGCCTTCGGACACTGCTCCAGCGGCTCCCGCGGGGCTCGGCTTGCAGAAGGCCGCCCCATGGGCCGGAGAGCACGCGTGTCCAGGCCGTGTTGTTGACGGGGCCAGCACCCGCGAAGTCTCCCCGGCAGCCACCGGGGCAGGGTCTCCCGAGGAGCCTCAGCGCCTGCTCCAGAAGCAGCCCCGCTCTGAGCGCGCTTACAGGAGTAGAGAAGCACGGTTGCTGTCATCCCCGGGGAGCCAAACTACGACGGAAGGCTAGCATCTTTCAGGATTACCTAAGAACCCTTAACTTTCCATACGAAATCGTTTTAATAATGAAGTTATTAAGTGAGAAATTTTACGCTCATTTCCTTGAACTAAGTCTTCGGAACCTGAGCATCACAGGCAGCTCTCCTCCGTGCTGACCTGCCAGGACGGCCCTGGTCCAAAGGCTCCCGTGAGGCTCTCTGCTGGCCTTTTGGGGAAACTCTGAGCCATTCTTACTGGAAACGCTTCTGACTCTAACTGGGGGGGGGGGGTCTCCACACCAACCGCTTCTTCGACTTCCCACAACCCAGTTCTACCCCATCTACCAGGAGCTAGCATCAGACCCCACAGGCCGGGGCTCGGTGCCACAGACTGGCCCCTCTGCAGACGCCGGCCGCACGTCCCGGGCCTCCGTACTTCTTTTTATTTTTTTTCCACTTTTAAACAGAAGCTCCACACCCAGTGCGGAGCCCAATGCAGGGCTTGAACTCAC